AAAAAAAAAAAGAAAAAACAAACAAGGGCAGCACCTGTGGTTCAAAGGAGTAGGGCGCCGGCCCCATATGCCGGAGGTGGTGGGTTCAAACCCAAAAGTAAATTTAAAGCAACTAAAGTAAAAAAAGACAAACACAGGTGACACCTACAGCTCAAGCAGCTAAGGTGCCAGTCACATACACAAGAGCTGACAGGTTCGAACCCAGCCCGGGCCTGCCAAACAACATAACAACTAAAACCAAAAAATGGCCGGGCATTGTGGCCACCTGTAGTCCCAGCTACTTGGGAGGCTAAAGCAAGAGAATCGCTTATGCCCAGGAGTTGGAGGTTGCTGTGAGCTATGATGCCACAACACTCTACCCAAGGCGATAGCTTGAGGCTCTGTCTCAAAAGAAAAAAAAAAAGACAAACACAGCCGCTTATATTGGTCAAGGGAACAATACAACAAGAAGACATTTCAATTCTAAATATTTATGCATTCAACTTTAATGCTCCCAGATTCTTGAAACAGATCTTAATCAATCTGGGCAATATGATATCCATAACAACATAATAACATGGGACTTTAGCACTCCTCTTACAGAGCTAGACAGATCCTCTAAACAGAAACTAAACAAAGATACAAGAGACTTAATTATGGCCCTAGAACAAATGTGCTTAATAGACATATATAGAACACTCCATTCCAAAGCTAAAAAATGTATGTTCTTCTCATCAGTCCAGGAAACATTCTCCAAAATAGATCATATCCTAGGACACAAATCAAACTTCAATAAAATCACAAGAACTGAAATTTTACCTTATATCTTCTCAGAACACAAGGCACTAAAGGTGGAATACAACTCCAACAAAAATGCTCAACCTCACATAAAAGCATGGAAATTAAACAGTCGTCTGCTGAGTGATAATTGGGTTCAGGAAGAGATAAAAGAGGAAATCATCAACTTCCCTGAGCAAAAGAACAATGAAGACAGAAGCTACCAAAACCTGTGGGATACTGCAAAAGCAGTCCTGAGAGGAAAATGTATCACTTTAGATGTCTACATCCAAAAAACCGAAAGAGAGCACATCAACAAACTCATAAACCATCTTATGGAATAGGAAAAAGAACAATCTAAGCCTAAATCCAGAAGAAAAAAATCCAAAATTAAATCATAGATTAATGAAATTAAAAACAAAAGAATCACTTAGAAAATTAACAAAACGATTAGTTGGTTTTTTGAAAAAATAAATGAAATAGATAAACCTTTGGCCAGACTACCTAGAAACAGAAAAGTAAAATCTCTAGTAACCTCAATCACAAATGATAAAGGGGAAATAACAACAGATGTCACAGAGATACAAGAGATTATCTCTGAATACTACAAGAAACTCTATGCCCAGAAATTTGACAATGTGAAGGAAATGGATCAATATTTGGAATCACACTCTCTCCTTAAACTCAGCCAGGAAGAAATAGATCCCTCAAATAGACCAATTTCAAGCACTGAGATCAAACAAACAATAAAAAAAAATCTCCCAACAGGCTCAGCACCTGTAGCTCAGTGGCTAGGGCTCCAGTCACATACACTGCAACTGGTGGATTCCAATTCAGCCTGGGCCTGCCAAACAATGACAACTACAACCAAAAAATAGCCAGGCGTTGTGGCAGGTAACTACTTGGGAAGCTGAGGTAAGAGAAGCACTTAAGTCCAGGAGTTGGAGGTTGCTGTGAGTTGTGATGCCACAGAACTCTATCCAGGGCAACAGCTTGAGACTCTTGTCTCAAAAAAAAAAAAAACCAGGCTGGGAAGGGCAAGATGGCCGACAGGTACCAGCCTCCAACAGAAGCTCCAGTCCAGAGGGAAGGATAAAGTCCAGAAAATACCCAATGAAGTTGAAGACTAGGAGCCCAGCCAAGAGAGAAGAGTGGGCTCAGCGCCTGTGGCTCAAGCGGCTAAGGCGCCAGCCACATACACCTAAGGTGGCGGGTTCGAATCCCCAGCC